AAATAACAAAATAAAAGGAACCAAAAAAATAAACAAGGAAAAAATAAAGAAAAAGAAAAAAGGAAATTAACATAGTAGAAAGAAGAAAACAATATATATATATATATATATATATAAAACGTACAATATATTGTAACCAGCGATATCAAATTAACAACAAAGGAATTATTGATTCATTGCTTCTCCTCACTATTTCAACGATACATGCATTATTATCACATCTTTCCATTCAATCTATTAACTGATCAAACGAACTGATAAATATCTGTATGCTATGATGAGACAATAATTGTTGTGATCGGTATGTGTCGAAAAAATTTAAAATTGAATAGTGAAATTCTGGAGTATGTGATTAAGGAGCTTTAGTCATGTTTTATAAGGTTCAACTGAAAAATTCTGTCCTTCATATTTAGAATTGACATTATTCGGTTTATTGAATTGCTTATTAGTGTACTGTTTTAGCGCAACCTCACGTCGATACTTTTCCGAATGGACACTTACATTCAAAGTAATGGATAGTACCATCAACAATATGAGTAAAAATGCACCATACCTGAAAAGTTTGAGTGAAAAATCAAAAAGCTAGGACAGTGAAGACCTAAACATAATACTTTTGAATAAGATGATATTCATTATGATTTTTAAATATAAAGAAATTTACGTCCATTATTTAAATATCATTTAAGATAATCCTGAGTGAAAGGATCGAGTGAAAATAATGTTATTACCTGAAAAAAAACGAAGAAATATCTTAATAACGGTAAAATTTATTATGAATTTAAGAACAAAAAAAAAAAACTTGCTACAACAACTTGAATTATATACAAACCTGATACCAAAATTAACATATTCGACAATTTCCTGGCGCTGTTTACCTTTATTGACAATGAAACTAAATGTTCTTAATACATCGCCATCGTATGCTCGGTGACAGCTGCAAAACAAAAAAGAAAAAGTAAACTACCAGGAATAATGAAGATTACATCTTGAATATTTCTAATGTCCTCTTTAGAAGTGTGACATGTTGTCAAAGTTTGGTTTGCATAAAGTATCAATTAATTAAGCTTTAGTAGTCCTTATTAAGAATTTCAGCATACTTCAAACACATGAATTTGATGTAACAGCCAATTCTAGGCTGTTATCTTTACCTAAAGAAACTTTCATCATCTTCCAGTTTGAGATAGTTGATGATAAGCTGATTATCACCGTCAATATAAATCCTTTTATCGGGATACTGTACCAGCAGTGAAGTAGATGAGATGTATGTTTCATTTAATGCCCAAAAAATGCCAAATTCTTTCTGTGGGCAAGATAAAATATAAGGATCATTTTCAAGGGCCTGAAAAATGCTTTCAGAAAAGCGCAATATTACAATGTTTAAAATGTTTTGCTTGCAAATATGCAATGCCATTAAAATAATTTGCATTATTGAATTCAGTCCATAAGTAGAATATTGAATTCAGACTATTTTAGCAAATTATTATTGCTAAAATGTGATTTTAACTCTCCTCAAAGTTCTAAACAATTCAATCATAATGCATTTGAATTCAAAATTTTGCAAATTTCAATTCCCAATAGAACTTGGAATTAGCATTTATCAAATGTAATTAATTTACCAATTTTTTAAGTTACATTAGATGACCTGTATAGTTTTCCGTTTCACTGCTTTGCGAAGGGGCGGTAATCGCTCATTCATTTGATATTCACCCGGTGGAATTTCATCAATAATAATATTTCGGCCAAATTCATTTTTACCCATAATTAAGCGTGTTTGCTCTATTTTCGCCCGTCTACATGGTACCTGAGTTACAGTTACTACGTGAGAGTTTGCAAGACAGGTAGATAATTAAATTTTGGTCCAGGGAAATTAATGAAAAAGTTGTGCAACCATTTTTTGCAACACTTCTTTGTTACTAATTCACTAACCTATGTTTGTTTTGTTTTTTGTGCATGTACATAGTAATTGTAACCAAAATCCATCGTTGAATATTAGTGTCCGTTGTAATTCATTTAAAGGTCAAAGATCAGTCTTTCTTACATAACAATTTTCAACATGGACGATATCCTGAATGGGCCACAAGATATTTCGTATTTGGATTGGTACCAATGAACTGCGACAAGGAACATGGGAGAAGAGTTGCATATATGAGATCACAGAATGTGAAATTGCATCGTAAGGTATGCCAGGAGCAATCTGAATTTCTTCCGGTTTCAATGGTATCACTAATTATCATTTGTTGTACATCTAATTTATCTGTTTCAATTTTTGGAATGCTAAAGGTTTCATCCGGTCCACTTGCTACTGTATGTATGAAATTACCTACAAGGAAATGCATCAACCATCATCCTACAAGGAAATGCATCAAACCTAAATTTAAATGACAAAAAGTGTGATTTTTCCTCCTAACTACAGCCATTCACTGGCTAGACACAGGAAACAATCCT